ACCCCCAAAGGCCGCTGGCCGTAACACAACCCAGCCACAAGTCACACTCACACCGAGTCACCGACCACTCCACTCCACATCCGAAATGGCGGCCGTGACGTTCGAAGAGGAGGTTTCCAGGCTGGCTGCCCGCGAAGCGGCCATCTCGCCGGCGCTGGTGAGGACGGCCGTGGGGACACTGGCACGCAGCAGCACGGCCCGCGCGGCTGCCGATGCCCTGTTCCATCTCTTCGCCGGCACCATCAGCTTCCTCTTCGCCGCAACATTCCTCTACCTCGTCGTGTTCCGGGCCTGCGTCGAGAACTGCACCGTGGCCTCGGTAGTTTGGGAGATCTTGGTTTATTCTGGTATGCTCTCCCTGCTACTCATAGTGCCAGCGATGGTGCTCTTCTTCCTGCGCGCCGCCGGCAGCGGCAGCGAGGTACTCGTCACTCACTCGTCAAACCCTCTCGCCCCGCGAAGCCAATTTCGCTTATGATGTGATTGGCAAATGTTGTAGGTCAAGGATGATGTGGAGGGTCGCGTCCGTCGGTGGCCGCTAATCTGGCACGCGTCTGTGGCGTTCTTCCACTTGGCGCTCTTGGTGGGACTCATCGGGCTCGTTCTTCAAATCTGTGGCGGGTCTCAAGAGGTTTCTTACCTTCTCCGCATTGCGGCTGTGCTGTGCAAGCTCCTACTCACCGTGCTCTTCTGCATCCGTGCTGCTGTGGCGCTGTGGAGTATGAATCCTCAGCAGCCGGCCGCAGTTGGTGCTGCGGTAGTGTGATGAGTGTACGGAGTAGTAATCTATCTAGTAACTAGTAGTAAGTACTAGGCTTGCTTCATTGCTAGGTCAGTGCTGTTGATGCAGTCAGTCACTATGGTTGTTTGGTTACCCTGAAGTACCGGAGCTATCTATTACCTGTGCCCATATGCGCTGTGATGAACAGCTTCGATTTTATGTAATCATGTACTCGTAGCCACAGTGAATTCCACTATATGTAATCAGGTCCCTTATTTCACTGCCTATATGACTTGACGTACGCTGTGATGAAGAGCTCCCATTCTATGTAATCACTTAGGATTTCACTGCCCTCTTTGCTTTATATAATTATTAAGTTGCTGGATTTGCTTCGGTTAGGTTGATTGCTGGACGTGGAATCTGTCTAGGCCGGGCGCAGAGGGGATGAGCAGCTAGGGGAAAGCAGCCGAGCTGCTGCTTCTTGTCTGTTCATGATGGGTTCTTTCACGCTTCCGGAAATGGGCCTGCCGAGAAGATAGACATGTAGATAGATAGCTACATGATGCGTCTGCGTCCCAGCCCATCAGCGTTGAACTACCATCAACTTTTCCCATTTTTCAAAACCAACTGTCGCGTTGAATTGCCCTGCGTGTACACTGACGGTACATTGTGCGGAAAGTGTGCGAATATGTCAGTGTTGTTTTTCAGACCGAGGGAAATGCAAGCATCGATTCCATGTACACTACTAGTGCTTGCCAAGTTCGACAACTGCTTACTTACTTCCTAAACAGCTGCTTTCACCTAATATTCAGGCACACGCGCGCGCCGTCAGTCACTCCGGACTAAAGATGCCAACCAACCCAACTACCTCCACCAGTCCACTTCACTCCACTCTCCTGTCCTTGCTCACAAAAATTCCATTCACGGCCTGTTACTGACTGTGTGCATGCCTACTTTCTTCCGGGACTTTTCATGCTTCAGGAAACGGGCAGATGGCGCTTTCCTACGTATTAGCAAGTACAAATGACAAAATTAATTTATGTACATAACTACATAGTACTATGCAATGTGAGTTTTGAGTTTATAATACTACTTGTCTCTCTCTGACATGTGGCCTTCTATGCTCTCTTTTTTTGAGAAACTGTATCCTTTATTAAAGTTCAAACATTCACATAGTGACAGAGATAATGTTGGGCAAAACAGACAGCCACGCATGGCGCCCGAAAGGAATGGAAGAAGTTGCCTTTGCAAGGGAATGAGCTTCCCTATTATATTCCCGCTTCTCATGGATGAACTTGAGAGCTTGAAACGAGCCACGCGCGACAATGGTTAATTTCCCAAAGGATAGCAGCGTACCGGTAGAGAGCTTCAGAATTGATGTTTGAGACAACTTCATCGCAGGCTGAAGCGATGAAAATGGAATGAACGTGGAGGTCAGTTGCGAGAGCCACCATTTCGTTACACGCTTAGGCTTCTAGGGTCGACGAGGCCACGAAAACCACCGCCGATGCACAAAGAAGCTTTGTTTTTTTGCAAAAAAAATCAATTATTTTATGTTTATTCTAACATATTCTAACAAAGCACAATTCATATGTATATTATGTGCAAAATTTGTCATGATTTTGCTTTACTTTTTATTTCATTTTGTGGGTAATACAAATGCCACTAATTAAGTCTTACTTAAATAACTTGATTTTTTTTAAATATTTTTTATTTTGTTTCTTCTGAAGGGGTAGTTCCAATGCGACCAATTTATTCTTTCTAGAAAATTTCATTATTTTTATTGTATTTTAGTTTTTTATTTATTTCTTCTGAAACGGTAATGTGAATTCCTCTAACTCATTCATTCTTAGAAAAGTTCATTATTTTGATTTTGTTTTATTTTTTTATTTTTCTTCTTTAATGATAATATCAATGCCACTAATCCATTCTTGCTTAGAAAACTTATTTTTGCAAAAACTTCACTATTATATGCTCATCTTGCATATTATAAACAAATTGATTGGCCAAAATTGGTTTTTCAGTTTGCATCGGTTTTGGTTAATTGCTCCAGCTCTTTTTTGGGATGTTAATTGCTCGAACTAGGATGGGAAAGCAGCAAGTTTCTGGTGGGGCGGTTGTTGCAGGTTTCCTTCTTCCTTTCACCCTTCTGGAAATGGGCCTCGATAGTGCTGCACATGGCCATAAGTAGTGTTCTCACAAAATTTCTCATTTTCAGCCTATGTACCTTTTTCTTTTCTTTTTTAGACTGGTTATAGTAAATCAACCCCTGACACTGGAGAGAGATATCAAAGGAAAAACCTCTCTATTCATTGCAATATATCAAATCTCCCATCGTCGTAGGGACTTTGTTCTTTTGAAATATGAGCGATCATTTGATACCGCTGGTTAAGGTTAACTTGAAAATTAACTATGTACTCGGTCAATATGGTTCATTCCCTTCTTTAAAAAGGGTTTATTTGTGGAAGAGTTAGGAAAAGCTTTGGTGTTGCAAAATTTAAAGCGATCATAGTCATTACTTTAGGGATCTAAACGGTCTTATATTTCTTTATAGAGGAAGTAGTACTGAATATATAACACCAAAGCTTTACATGCACTTTTTTCTTTACATGCACTTTTTTTAGGGAACTCTTTCCTTTAAATGTCCATATAATTCAAAGTTATACTTTAACTATCCTACTTTCTTCTTTACATGCACTTTTTTAGGGGAATTCTTTACATGCACTTGTGCACCATTGCAACACGTTATTACCGAAAAATGAAAGACAGCAAAGTCTCTACTGGGCTCTCCCAAAATGGCACAGATAAGATAGGAGGGTATATATGCAAGGATGGGTTTTGTCCTTTTCACTCATCGCGGTCCATCACTCCACAACGCTCGAAGGTACGGTTCATCTTTGGTGTACCGCGTTAAGCACCAAACAACAACCACAAGAAACCATGAACAATCAATGCTAGTCCAGAGAAAAGAAATATGTGTGCGCGCGTGAGCGCGGGTGGTGAGCACCATTCACACGGGTGCGTAGGCAATTATTGCTGCCAAGATAGTACCCATAGCACGAGAAGGGGAGGAACAGCTCCCGGAATGATCAAATCATTGTATATTCATTTCTACGCCTTGTCGCCTATAACAGAAACTCAAGGTTGTATCACATCACACACTAGATCACTAGTCGTGCAATAAGAGAACACACATCACTAACTCATCGTCTCTTTTGCTTGTAAGGTCACTATATAAAGAGAAGAAAATAAGGGAACAACCTCTAGGTGCGGTGCAGCAATATATCAAATCTAACATGCATTGCAGTCATTTAGAAATATGAGAAATTTTACTTGAAGATTCACAATGTACTTGAAAATATTAGCAACTTGTCGATTAATCTAATTCATGAGTAAACAATAAGCATGGCAATCGCAGTATGCAACTCATACCGATAACTAAGCATGTGAGCAAGTAAATTAGATAGAAACAAAACAGCTATGGACAGAACATATACGGCTAGCACATGAGCGAGTAAATGAGGGATGAACAGATCATATCCTCCGGTTGGCTGGGCCAACGCGGCGGCGGCGGCAGCAGTCTCGGCATTGTCTCTGGCCTTCTTCTTAGCGGCGGCGGCGTCAGCCATGGGGGTGATGCAGAGGAAGTAGTGGAAGCAGAGGATGACGAAGACGGTTCGGGAGCAATCGCGCCAAGACGCTCACCAGAAATCTTATTGACATTCTCCCGGCAAGATCTCGAACGACAAGGTTCTGAAGGCACCTGCTCTCCCGACCAATCATGCACGCATTGTCGGGATGGGATTGCCGAAAGCAACACAGAGAGAGAAACAATAGATGACGGCTAGGGTTATGTAGGAACGAGTGAGTGAGTTAGGGTGCATTCCACAAACCTGCGCCTCCTTATATAGATTGTCAGGTAGATGAGCCTAGGCTTAGGCCCACGGTCCAACGTCTTGGACAGTGCCACCACTATAGCGGCTCGTCAATTAATTAACCATTCCCGAGGCGAGGCGAGGCGGTCTTAATTAACATTCCCGAGGAGAAGGAGCGCACGTGTACATCTGCTCTTTTCAAGCTTTCAATGGCATGTGGTAGAGCAGCCCTTATAAAGGGGACTCACTCTCATTCCACTAGGAGTATGGTACTAAATTTCTCATGATTTGCCATGCACCTAATGGGCCTTAGAAATTAACTAGGGATTATTGTCTTATATAGGCAAAGACCCATCTATAATCCAACAATGTACTCACTCAAATAGTTTTAATTATTCTTGGAGGAGTTATTAAGAGAAATGGTCGTTGTAAAACATTACTGAATGGGTCCGTCTAGAAATCAATCGGTTGAGTTGCTAAGTCTCAGTCGGCTGACATCACCTCAAGTAGGCTATCAAGTAGGCCGAAATCACTAGTTAAGGAGTATTCCTTGTGGAGTTCACTCCAACTTCTCCATGTTGCGACAAGTGGCGCGCTGCATGTGCGCCTCTTGTCGCAACCTGGGAGTTTCCCTTTTTTCGTAGATCCGTTATTCAAAATGTTTTATCTCTTAAATTGTGCGTCCAAATCTCGAACCGCTTTCGCCATTGGATTCCTCGCGTCGAGATCTTCAAAACTAGATCCCATGTTGATAGATTTTGACAAACTTTTTTTTCACGAAAAAATCGGACGAAAAAAACCAATAAAAAAACCAAACCGGTAACACGGTTTTTTTTCCTTTCTGAAAGAGGCACGCCCGTGCCTCTGACAAAATCACAATCGTGCCTCTCGTGGAAGCAAAACCGTGCCTCTCGCGAAATAAAAAAAAAACACGTTTTTTCCTTTCCGAAAGAGGCACGCCCGTGCCTCTCGCGGAAGCACAACCGTGCCTCTCGCGGAAGCAAAATCGTGGCTCTCGTGAAATAAAACAAAATAAAAGACGCGCTTTTCCCCTTTCCGAAAGAGGTACGCCCGTGCCTCTCGCGGAAGCAAAACCGTGCCTCTCGCGAAAGAACA